AGAAAGGATGGGCAGCGTTCATCAGTGCGCTGTTATGCGGTTTTAGCCATTTAGAGGATGCAGTTTTTAACAAAGCATTAGGAGGGTAGGGAACCGGGGTGTGTGCGATGGTAACCTCGTGCAAAGTGCCTGAAACTTGCCCAGCCCGATGATCCTTCTCTTTTAAAGTTTAGTTAAAAAATTGCATGTCGGTGGTGTAATACGAAATAACAGGTAACCCTGTGTTTCTTGATATGCTAACACACATAGCCCCTCACCATTCACCTCTGTTCTGCACTGCTTTGAGACACACAAGTGAAGCGCCAGAATACAATATTTGATGACAATTCAGACACGCAGCACATTTTTCACCTATTATAACCCTAATTTCGTCTTTAGTGCGAGCTTCAGCTGCAGGATAAAGCAGTGCGAGTGGTTCCAAGGACTACATGCTTGGAGATATCGGTAATCAAGATTCTTTCAGAACAGTTTGGCCGAGTTGAATCGAGGATTGAGCTGATCAACTGAAACAAGACCTCAAGCACATGAAATTAACGCAGCAATAGTCCCCAAGGTTGAATAAAAGTGAGCGTAGAGATACGGTAGTTGCTACTAGTACGCAATTGCAGACTGCCACCCGTGTGTAAATAGGTAGCGAACGCGATTAAATCTCGCCACCGGCTGCCACTCAAATTACTTTCCCGCGCGCGAACATTTGAACGTTTGAAGGACTGTTATTGGAGCACATTATGTCTTTACGTTAGCGGTTGCAGAAATGCATTGATGTCGTTCGAAGGAACTTTCTTTCGCAACATTCCTGGCATGGAGGAGATGTGACGGTCGGAGTCTACCTCTTTGGTGCGATCTTTAATGATGCAGGCATACATTAAAGTTGGAAAGGGGCCTTTTGAATGCCGCTCAGTACAATTGTCAGAAAGAGTTACACCTTGTCTTCTAGCTCAAAAAGTTCCCATTCATGGACTCCGATTTGTGGTTTTCTCGTATTAGTGTGATTTATCTAAGCATATTCTGAGAGATGCTCCTGTATTTTATCATATGTAAAAGATAATATGAAGGGTCGCACAACGACCATAAGTGAGACACATTGTTGATCAATCTGGGTGAAAATACTTTAGGTGATTTTCAGTGACAAAAAGTTATCTGCAGAGAGTTTACTGGTACTTCGAGTGGTCGCCTGTCTGAAGAGACGGGTTCGTCTCTTCATAGGAAGGGTAACTGAAAGTTGTTGGTGGTTGACTATTCTAGGTATTCTGAAAATTTTGGTTCATGAATAGACTCGATTTCGTTGCGGTCTCAACGGCCAGTTATCTAGGAAAACATAAACGGATGAAAAGTTAGTAAAAAGTTTGCTGCAAAAAGGAGTTTCATACAGTTTACCAGTTCCTCCTCTGCTCGAAATACGAGTGAACACAGAAATATTAAAAGTGGACTTATATCGAACTCTGTTGGAATAAAACTTCTGTGCATTATTCTGTGTATTGACTAACTACATTTTAGAAATACTACAGTAATGTAGGCTTCTAGAACTTTCATCTCACCTCTGGCAGCTAAGAGATGCCTTCATAAACTCTGAAAATGTAGTAAATCAAAATTCAAACAATATGCGCCCCTACAACCACTCCCTCTACTGTTTCCTCGGTTAGTAGGGTGTACTTGACTTTGTCGAGGGATATAATAGCCTGGCTTTATGTACCGGCTGGACATCCTGCACGCCAAACTATTGAGTGCGGCTGAAGCAGCGCTGACCTCGAGCCGTCACATGGTTTCTAATTCAAACATCCGCGCGCGGGAAAATTATTCGAACGGCAGCCGGTGGCGAGATTTAATTGCGTTCATAGGTAGCACCCTCCCCGAACGCAAAGTTCTATTGCTATGTCTCGAAACGCACATTAAGCCTCTCTGGTGAGAAGCTTACAAAGCCAAAAAGAAGCTTTTCATTGCAGTTGAAAAAAAATTGCGTATGATTTATTGGTAGTCAGTGAGAACTATGGGAGAAGCCCATTCTGATCTACTGTGCTCTATGATTCTCCTTCATATGGGTCTGCTTGCAGTTCTTTGGCTCCTTCCCTAATTTTGGTAGATGGAAAGCACCCCGATTTGGTTTTCGTTCAGCTGGTTTAAGTTGGCTCTCGACCCAAAATTTCAAATGTCTCCCGTCTTCAGGGACGCATTCTCTTCTTTATGCAATATTCATGTTTCCGTTTTTGTTAACAGCGGCCCTTCTAACTTTTGCGGTCGCTCGGTTCCTGTAGTTCGTAAGCAACATCGTCGGAACGAGGGATTGAGGTCCTCCCACTGTCGTACCGTTCATCCTATCCCCGGTTTCCGAAATTTTCTTCTTCTTCTTCCAAAAGCAAAGGATCCCTACCGCGTTGGTCCTTGTTCGGATATGCTACCGATTCTACTCTTCACTTACTGGACCACATAACGCTCTTCATATTGTTTTCTATGTTTTCACATGGAGACGTTTCATGACCTCAGCTTTGTTCCGATCGTCATTGGTTGCTCTGGTTTAGATGCTCCATGATTTTTCTGGGTTCAAGCTTTGAAATCGGGAATTCTTTTTGATAAATTATTTTGTAATTGATATATACACAGCTACATGTGAAATGCAATGAACTAAGAAATTTCCTTTTAAAAGATTTCGTTGTAGATTTGCGATGTTCCGGAAACCTGCGGATGATGACTATCCACGCACTGTCAAGGCTAAGCCATTTCCTACCAAGTACGCACAAAAGCTTGCAATGACAGGAAAAGTGAGTTGTTTCTGACTTTTTTCTTTTCTTTATTTTCAATTCCTTCGGGGCGCCATACTCTTTCCGATGACTTTACACGCAGTTTTCTTATCATTATCCGAGGTTTTTTAGTTGGTATGCTCATATGATTCCCTTTTTCCTAATTCCTTCTATTTTTGAAAGCAAAAGACAAAATAGCTTTCAATTTCGCCCAAGTTTCTTTATTGGGCGGTGTACTCTGCAAATGCGAAATGTTCGCTGAAAGAAGACGGCTCATAGCTCGTTCTGTACTTTTTTGCTGTTGTACCATCCTTTTCTGGTCATTTTCTGGTCAAGGTTGTTGTGCTATGGATCGTCAAGCCAACGTCAGAGCGACTGCCAGCTCGATGCTCAGTCTTTCTGAAAGATGTTCTGAAAAAAAGAGATGATATTTCATCGTGTTCCTTAAGAGAGTTGATCCATTGGGCTAAGTGTTGTAGATGTTGTACAGCAAACAACAAGGTTACACCTAATCCGTCTGATATTGTTTTTTCGGGTTCTAATGATGAGGCTACCCCCTATTTGCTCCACCTTTTCAATAATCGTATCACAGGTAATTCTGCAATTTGTAATATGATGTAATCGATGTCCGGGTAAAGAACTATTTGAAATCAGTAGTCTCTCTACATTCCATCACACTGGCTTATTTATGCTTATTTTTCTACAGTTTAGTTTTTTATTGAAGGACTTCGTAACCGGCGGTTGTGAAGGAGGGAGTGGTGCAAATAGCAAGCAATCCGACTGTTCGCCCGAGTCTTCTTCAGCCAACAACAGCTTAACGGCCGATGAAAGAAATAAGATATCCGCGAAAATTCTCAAAGCAGAAATGAAAGGAGATACGGTGAGCAACATAAGGATTGCTACTTTTTTGTGAAAGAACAGCTGAACATGACATCATTAGAGCATTGTATTAATGACCGACTTCTCATTTTACCATCTTACTCCAACAGTTCTCTACTTTATGGTTACAATAAAAATATTTGGGTCAGTCGTTCAGCTACAATCAGGCATAACCTATCGAATATGTGAGAGTGAACAGACCCTTGAATAAGCGCTTACGCTAGGAATTTATTAAGTGATTCACTCACGGATCACGCAGGCGCGGTCCGCAAAGTGTAATGCTCATGTTGATTACGATACCATTACATTACATGCGCTTGAAGCTCATACTGAAGTATGTTTCGGAATTACGAGCTATATTTGCGTTTTTAATGTTGAAGAAAAATTAATCGGACTGGTCTGAAGAAGTACTTACCTTCAATTTTCCTCTTCACCCATGTTCGTTTTAGGAGACAGTGAACAAGCTGAAGCGAAAGCTAGAGGGCAGTACAACACAGAAGCGTGAGGAAACTGAAAAAACAGTCGTTTTATTGAAGAGGGACCGATCTGGAAATGTCGTTCCTTGCCAGAGAAACAAGAGCTCATCAGAAAATTTTGCTCAGGTCAGAATTTGTTTCAGGATATTCGCAACAATTGTTAGTTCTCGAAAAAACTTCAGACATCATCACGCATCCACCGAGAGTACGGTATGAAGCAAGGCCTAAATGAAATGATGCTTGAGGAGAAATCATCAACAGCTGAGGATCAGCTTATGCTTTTCCATCGGTCGATTATAGTGAGTGTTGCACTTACAATTTGTGTTTTCATGTTTTCTCTCAGCAGCTTTTTGCAGTCCATAATTAATGCTGGTTTTGCTGGCTGCTTTTTTTCTCATTTCATTTGCTTGAAAATTCGAAATTGATTTCTGAAATAGGTCCAACCTTCCAGGTAATTTATGTAGCAGAAATTTGTTTTTGCACAATTTATTTGCGCGAAAAATGCGCGTAACTAGAAACCAAGCGTAGTTTGTTCGACTATGACTGCTGCGCTAGTATTTTGTTGAAAGCGACAGTGTTCGTTTATTAGTAATGACCAGACCAAGCCGCAGCAGTAGCACTTGAATTGCCCTTCGTCCCTTTGTGCATTGGTTTCCTCGAGCGCCAGTAACGTCTCCATTCGTTCCTGTCGCGAGCCAGAGTAGTACAATGAATCGTACTCGCTCGATGGATACGGAGCAGAAAATTTCTTTCGTTTCGCGATGAAGTCTGACCATCGCGCTGGTTTAACGTCCAGAGGGAACCAGGTAGTAACCGCCCTGATTCAACGGTCTTCTCGATATCGCACAATGTATCCGGCTTATTTGATTTCTTAATGTAAGCAACGGTATCCCTAATCTTCGTTCTTCACGGAGCTCGGAACTGCGGATTCCCTTCTGCTTGCATGTACGAGGAAATTCCGAGCATCGTGCTTTTCACAGCGCGTTTAATGATGCTATCTGCAAGCTCGTCCTGCTTTCGGCGGCCGAGTTCATCGGGTTGTAGTTGCGTGGGTCATTCCGATCTCCTCCCCCCATGAAAGTTGACCGTGCACGAGCTCCTCCACGAGAGGGTCCCCAACCAATGGAGGAGCTCACAAGAATGGAGACTCGAAGGATCGCATAAAGCTCGTGACCCCTGAAGGGAGTAGGTCCGCTGAGAACTTGTCGAGACCTGGAGTAGGGTCCCTTTCGTGCTCGCCGTCGCAACCCTTGCCCCCCGAAGGAAGAATCCGAGATGCTGTCCCTCCAGTGAGGGTTACTGGATTTTGTACGTGTGTCATGGATTGGTAGAAGTTGGTGTTGAAGCTCTATTCAACTTCTTTCATTCATCAAATTTGGCGTGAGTACATGCGCAACGATTAAGACGCTGATGGTATTAAGTAGAAGTTAAGAGAAGTTGATCACGCTAGCGGGGGTGTAGGGGTTCTGGTAAGAGCGGGTCATGCGTTAAATGAGCGTAGTTTGAGTGAAACCATGCTGTAAAGTTAGAATAAGGTGGGAATAGACTAATTGTAAGTTGCATGACCACATAGTACTTGAGCAGGACTTCGTTCATGATGGGCAGGACGCGCACCAAGTGTTTCAGTGTGTGTAAAGTGTGTGTGTTTCGCTGGGGAACAATAGCTCCTGTTTTTTTGGACTAGAGCTTTAAAGCTTGGGAGAATGCAGGTGACGGATGAACTTGAGCGCAAGAAGGAGAAGGTCGCGACTCTTCCCCTTCTTGCGTTTTGGCTGGTTTCAAAACATTGCTCATGAGCTCGGCCGCAAGCTTGATCTCTCTTATCGAACTCCTCGCATGCTGCACGCAGGTACCACTCCTCCATCTCTTCCCAGCCATTCTTGAGCATTCCTTCAAAGGCACAGTTCGCGATAAAAATGGTTCCACAAAACTTAACAACTAGGGCATAGTGGGAGCCTCGTTACAGGATCGTCCGGGTGCCCCGCCCTTCGACCGATGATGTGTCAGACGAGTGTCGAGTGATACAGATTGCAATTTTCGCGCCAGGACCCACACCTTCAGCACGCAATCAACTGATTGCCGAGTAGTGAAGCGATGTTTTTCTTCTTTTCTGTCATTTTCTGTAATTATTTTTGTTGCTGTGCTTCTTAGTCTAATTTTCTACCACAAAAGACTGAAAAGGGTGCGTTATTACTGCCGTTAGTGGGAGTTTTGTTAACCTATGCTTATGAGTGAATGGACTTTAAGAACATTCTTGCTCACTGTAGTCAACTATTCGCACCAGGACCCACACGCACGCAATGATACACATTGTATTGTTCGTCCGAACACCCCTTTTTCATTTTCTGATCTCATTCTCGTCCAGCCCTCTTTTTGACGATTTTCTTGAAGCCATGTTTCGCTTGGGAAATACCGATTCACGCGCTTTCTTCGCCTTCATCGCACTATTTTCCATCTTATCTTCCATTTTTCGTCATAATCTGGATTACCCAAAATCATCGTAAATTGGGCCTTTAAGGACTCCAGACTGGAATGTCAAACTAGGGAGGGTTCCCTTCTGATCAGGGACCTTACGCAAGTGGTAAAGTTCTGAAAGGGTGACCACGCCTTGGTGCTAATGGTATCGAGCAGCTCGCGTTGGGACCACTCTTAGGCGAGCTTGGCCATGTGGATTGGGTTAACATAATGCTGAATGTATTGCGGAATCGTTAAGTGGACTCGGGTTAAGGTTCCAGTACGTACGTCAGATCTTCGTTGTCAACGATCACGCAAGCACCGAAAAAAAAACTAACGGTGTCTTACCACTCCCTGGGCTCCCTCCCTGACCCTGAACCATAGTCTTGCTGTTCGTATAGCAACTTTTTCTTGAGAGATAGCTCTTGCAATATTTCTAACCAGAACACAGTTGTTTTCGGTTGAGGGTTGGCTATATCGCACAAATTTTCTTTCTAGTGAAGATGATGGATGGATGCATGTCTACACTTAGACGAGTCAGCAACCTTCTGCATTTTTGACAGTGTACTGTTTTTAGTAGTCGGGAATGAAGTGGCATTTCTGCATACAATAGGAATGACAGAAAAGAGCTTCCCTTTACAAGCAAACTTCGATTCTTCCAGTCCGAAGCGATTTTTTTTATATACCACTCAAGATTACGACCGACTCACGGACGAACTATTTTATTGGCCCTATCCTTGGAACACAGGCCTGTCCCCCTTTGCGGCTTACTCTCTGATTGGTCTTAATTCCCTGTATCGTCTAATAGCATTCTTAGCAGTCATTATTGGAACTACAAGAAGTTTTACGATGTCTTCGTGTGAATAATTGCATATAGCACCGAGTGAGCCTCACCAATCTCAAATATATTATGAGTTCTACCTCGGTGATTAGGAAGATGGCAAAAAAGTTATTGAGGCAACTGATCAATTGCACAGGAGTTGAAAAAGGTAAAATATTCCTGTTTGGAATATTTTGTATTTGACGCCCGTAATTTGGATTGATCTTGTACATTGAGGACTTTCTGATTGACCGTAATGATATTTGTTTACCATTTGGTGACTTCGCATTATCAATCCAAAATTTATTTTAAAAGTTGAAAAGCATATCTGAGATAAGCCTCAAATAACAGTCATGTACATGTTCATTCAAAGGCGCAGTCCACGATAATTGTGAGTTACCCCTTTCCAGTCGAAAACGGAAGTATAGAGAGGGAATAGTTCTATTATTATTTAACATCGGTAGTGAGAAAGCGAAAAAATTCACCGATTTCGAAGAAAATGAGGCTACTTAAAAGTAGGGGTAATAGAGGTTAGACGAGATCACCATGATGGAAATAACATGGAGAGGGTATTCGGACGAGATTTCAGTTGTTGCAATTGCACGAAGAGCTGAATACATCAAGCAAGAACTGTGTAGAACTCCCTCTCTTTGTCGTTGTTGGTCTGACAAGTTGTTTAATACGTTAGCTTCCTTGCAATTGGTGCAGCCTCTACAATGCCGGTGAAACTCGTCCGAGGATACACACGGTACAATCTTTCAGCCTTTATACGCCCTTTTCTGGGCCGTTTTCAGGCATAACAGCGCCACATACGACATACGGGATCCTACAAATCCATTCTAGCGGGATATCTCAAAAGTCATTTTTCTCGTGAACTGTGCCTTTAGAGCGGTCTTTTTAACTTATTGTAAAAATCCATAATAAGTAAGTTCCTGAAGACGCCACTCTTACTCGTCTAGTGGCAATATGAGCAGGTTTTTATGCAAATTAAATAATGTCTGAAATTGAAATAAAAAATTGAAATAATGCCAATTGTCTGAAAAGCGCAGTTCACTATAAGAAAGGTCTTCGAGAATTCGAATTAGGGCAAGCCTGCGCCCTTCAGGTGTGCATATGTGCTCTGCAAGGTTGAAACGGCTCAGAAAGGGCGCAGTAAGGACCTGATAACCAGCTCCGTCGACGTCCACACCGAGATATGGCCGTTTTTCCAACAGTCGTGTGGAAGCTGCACCATTCACAAGCAAGCATGTGTTGAATATTCGAACAACTGCTCTTTTGAGCTGATACAATGATTTTATTTTGTGGTGTTCTAGCAATCCATTCTATCCTAGTTTTCTATTCCCGATGAGGTTAGTTTGTTTTGTCCCAAGTCCTGACGACAGGAGAAGGCAAGTTTTGGCATTTTCGTTTACTGTACCCAGACGTTGACGCGATTGCATATGCCCGAAATCTCGTCCAAATACCTCATCCAAACATTTTTCCGTCGTCATCGTCTCGTACAACTCCTCAACTCAATTGGTTTTAACGAGCCTCACATTGAACAAATTGCGACTTCTTGCACTTTCTTCAGCACCCGACCACTCATTAATCTGGGCAGTACTTCCACTTTTTCCCTTCAGAAGGAGACTTCAAAGTCATCGTAAACTGTACCGCTAACGAAGGAAAGACAACTACAAATGGAGGGGACTTTTGAAACGATGAAATAGCCACTAATTATAACATTGACCATGCTATCTTGACTAGCAGATTTTGGAGTGCAATATTTCTTTATTTGTATGTAATCGTTGATAAAGGGAGTGTAAATGTGTATCAATTGCAGTGCCTAAGTCTTGCATCCCGGCTACTCTTATAACCGCTACTTTTTTGCTCGCCTCGACGGATCCTTGAACACAAACTGCGTCAGACTGTTCAAAAGCTGTTGGAGGTGGTGAGCGACACGAAGCTTGAAGCCTGGATTTTTCAAATTTACACCTTTCACTACTTAATCAAGATTGGTAGCGAAGATCGGACTGCTTGTCTGGGAGCGGAAGTGGGGTTAATATGCGGTGGGGGTGGAAATCCCTGTTCCACTATTCACCCTCGATGAGGACACTCTGGAAAGTGGAAGTGAATTTGCACCTACCAAGTGAAAGTATGTGCACTGATTTCTGT